CTAGAGAGCGAAGAAAAAGAGAACGACAGCTAAACCGATTTATCGTTTCTCTCTAATCAGAGCTGAAACTGATGACAAAAAATATACTGAACGACTGAAAAAGGGAGACCACAAGGCAAATGTTATATGAAATAAAATACAACACTTTCCGTCCACCAAACGCTCCCTCTGCTTACAGGGAGTTGGCTGGCAGGACAATATAAACAAAATCTTCCCGTCATATCAGTTCTCTAATTGACCAATTTAAGAGCCAGGGTGATACTGACTATATACTTAGATCGGTTCAAAGTTTGGAAATACGGATCAAAGAACACCGATCAGAAAATATTCGCAAGGGCAATTTTCATAGAAGAACAAATACAAATAAAACAAATAAACAGCAGCGTGCCGGTTTTAATGATCCACATATTCTCAGTGATGATTCAGGCTAATACCGACTTTTACTTGAAAGTGTTGGAATCTGTTTACATTAAGTCCTACCAGCCATCTCTTTGTAAGCAGAAGAACTGGTCGGTGGGATTAACCTGTAAGTGTTATATTTCATTTCTTATAACATTTGTCATGGGTTTTATTTATTTTAGTCGCTGTGTACATCTTTCTCCTTGATCTCAGCTCTAATTAGAATGAACTGATACAAAGTTTTGTCTTTTTATTAATCATTGTTGTATTTTGAAATTACCGGTATATGTTTGATCCTTAAAACGGTGTTATAAAATAAAATAAGATATATCTCGGCTGATTTACAGGCAAATAAACTAACATACACAAGAGCGAGAGCCGGATGTGAACGGATCAAGGCCCCGTCACAAAATGATCATTATCTTCGTTTACAAATGTTCCCGACGCACTAGTTCCGGTCGAAAAATAAAATAATATCTAAAGTGTTCTATTTTTCGTCCAATAAAAATGCTTCCCTCCTAATTATACTCGCTTCGTTTTTCGAGCCTGTTAAGCCATAAAAAACGCCATGAAAGGGGTCACAGGGAAGTACAACAGGCAGTCAACAGGTGGCTAGGGAAGAGACATGTCACGGTCAGGATGAGCGGTCAGCAGCTGTCAGCAGGGGAGCGCCAGCGTCAACCCGTGTGAACTACTATGAGAGATCAACCTAGATCCGAAGCCGACTTATGAACTTTACCACAAGGTAGCTGTCCCAAACCCTCACGTTCCTGTTGAAATAAATCTCGTAAATCTATTTCTGCTGTTGTCCTATTTCTTTCTTGCAACCATACGCTTGTCTATAACAACGGTGATCCTTCGTGTTTATAGGATTAATAACCGACATTTTCTAGCTCCCATGGCACTTCCATTTCTGGAATTCTACAGATCTCTGGGATTGACACTGTTCTTTTTAGCGCAATATGAGAGCTACTGACTTGGAGTGGAGATTGTCTCTACCACTCCGCAACAACAGTAAGTCAATCTGTGAAACAACAAAAAAAACAAAAATAGAATAGAATAGGGCTGAATGAAAAATGAATTCCTTAGAAAAATAGAAGGAAAGCAGGAACGAAAGAAAGAAAAAAAAGATGAAATCTTCTAGCTACATTAGTGATGAATAAACTCATGATGAAATCAATGAGATATTGTCGGCAAATGTTTAAAGAAACTGTTCTCCCTACTGTTGGTAACGGTAATCGTAATATTTGCCCTTCTCTTATCTGGAATCATTCGAGATTCATTGACCAAATAACCAGTACTACTGTCGGTTGAAATTTATAAAATCTTCCTCTTAAAACAAATTTTCAAGGAAATAGGTTTCTCAATAATAAATGAAACCAAGTCGCCAATGTTAGCTAAATAATCTGATATGGGAAAGAATTCGGGAGGAGAATCTGGGTATGTTTATTGAACCTGAGTTTTAAACTGCGAAATACCAACGGGAAGAAGAAATGTTAGACCACAAATCCGTTTGTATACTTGAGGTTCAATACCGTAAAATTACTATCTACTTATCTGATTGCCTCATTTCTCTGCCCACTGCTTTTATTTCTGTCTTTCTAGCTATCGACCAAACGATTGCAGACTTGCTTGTTTATCATCATTTGGCTTTCAGGGCAAGTAAAAACCTTTTGTCGTCCGAATAACTCTCGTTACTTTCTTAAAATATACAAGTCACTCTATCTACTTGCTAGTAAAATTACAACATAATCTATCTTAGTAGTTACCTTCTGTAAGATGCCTATCTATCTATCTATCTATCTATCTATCTATCTATCTATCTATCTATCTATCTATCTTTTGGTTAATTTGTATTTAGATTGCCCAATTCTTTCGTTCTTTCTTTCTTTCTTTTTTGTAATTTATTTGTTTTTAGTTACCACAGCACTTCTATCTATCTATCTATCTATCTATCTATCTATCTATCTATCTATCTTCTGGTTAATTTGTATTTAGATTGCCCAGTTCTTTCTTTATGTCTTTCTTTCTTTCTTTCTTTCTTTCTTGTAATTTATTTGTTTTTAGTTACCACAACACTTCTATCTATCTATCTATCTATCTATCTATCATCTATCTATCTATCTTCTGGTTAATTTGTATTTAGATTGCCCAGTTCTTTCTTTCTTTCTTTCTTTCTTTCTTTCTTTCTTTCTTTCTTGTAATTTATTTGCTTTTATTTACCACAACACTTCTATCTATCTATCTATCTATCTATCTATCTATCTATCTATCTATCTATCTATCTATCTGGGTTATTGTTTGATTTCGTGTAAAATTAAAAGAAAAAAAAATGATTATCCTAACTGAAAAAAAAAAAAACACATACGGAAATTATTCGACCGCAGGCATGGTAGGTTATATGAATAAATTTGACTTAAAATTTAACATCTCCAAATCTAAACTTCTCTAAATTAATCGGCTGAGAGACTCTTCTTGGCCTTCCATTATCATGGGTGATGCTAACCTCCAGGAAAGTGACCCATTCCGCCTTCTCTGGCTAACGTTCTCAGCTGACGATGTGGAAAGCCAATATTGACTCCATTGCTTGGTCAGCTGCTAAGAAAGTCGGTTCACTGTGTTGTGCAAGACAGTTTCTCTCTTCAGAATCTATCTTACATATCTAAAAGTCTGCCATTCGTCCATGCTTAGAATATTTCTGCCACATATGGTCCGATTCCCCAGCTATTTAAAAGGAGATTCTTGATAAAATCCAAAGAATAATCAGCAATATTTATTGGTCCTGAGCTAACGGCTCGGCTTCAGGCACTTGCCCACCGCCGTAATGTTGCCTCTGTGTACCTTTTTTTTTTATAAATCCTTTCATGGTAATTGTTCGGATGAGCTCTTCATTATAGTAACTAAAACTTTTGCAGTTATATGATATGAAATTTCTGAATCTTCCATAGCAATAAATATTAAATCAGATTGCGCATCGCCGTGTCTTAATGATTAGCACATACTTGTTACACATTTGTTACACGTTTGTAATTACTACGAGCTTCACTGGATGCTTTGCATGTGTGACGAATTTAAGATAATTTTAGTAAATAATTACTGAGAACTTTGCTAGATTATTCGTTCGATCATTGCGACTATAATGAGTTCGATCCTCTCAGTGTGTTAGCAAATTTAGTAAACATCAAAAATATAATCTACTGGGGAGAAATGCTTTTGTTTTTAAGAACCATTCGATGTAAAGATTTACTGAATGGGATTGTTGCGCCTATTAGACCTCAATGAATACAGGATGTAGCAGGTGGGTTTGTTCGTCTCTCACGTGTAGGACACTTGCTGTGAAGTAATGTTACCCGCGTGGGTTTAGGTTCTTGGTACGGGCATTGAGTAAGAATAATCGCTGCAATGTAAAGACAAGAAGATGTGTATGAAGCTGACCTCTGAGTCCTGTTAAGTAATTCTTCATTCTTCTACAAAAGACAAGTGAAAACTGGTTATCCAGAAAAGCCCTATAAAACAGTTACAGTAATTGTCTTTTATGGATGGATAAGGTTACATTTTCCACTGCATTTATCCGTATATGTATCCGTATATGCATAATGATTAAAAAAAGATTGTTAACACTTTTATTAAGGTTTTGTCAAGACGTAAGCGACGATGGTTCGCCAAGATTTCTTTCATTTATTATTCGTGAATTACTTTACTACCTTCGGAAATATGGCGACGTGGTTTCGTGTTGGTCAATCCATGATTTTTCAAAAGTTTCCCCGTCGCTTTTTTCACTTTTCCACACGTTTTACTTTGCCGTTGCCACGGTTTCCAGTTTTTTTTTAACGTAACTTTCTCCACGGTGTTCACGTATTTTCCCATTGCCTTTTCAACAGATTTTCCAGTTGTCTTTTTTTATGGTTTTCCAAAGATTTTTCTATTGTCTTTTCCATGGTTTTCCACATGTTTTTACGTTGCCTTTTCCATGGGTTTTCACAAGACATCACGTTGCTTTCTCCTCTGTTTTCCACAAGTTTTCCTGTTGCTATTTTTGCGGTCTTTCGCAGGTTTTCCAGTTGCCTTTTCCATGGGTTTTCACAGTTTTTTTAAAAATTGCCTTTTCCATTGTTTTCACGTTGCATTCTCCATGGCTTTTCAAAGATTTTCCCGTTGCCTTTTCCACGGTTTTCCACAAGTTATCCCGTTACGTTTTCAGCAGTTTTCAAGGGGGTTTTCTTTTCTTATAATGGGGTAAATTTCTTTTTAAGCCCCACGCTAAATATCTATTAAAATTTTCTCAAATCGTCATATTTCCGTGTAAATGTACATGCTGAACTCGAATTAACAATTAAATTTTGATAAAACCTACCGTTTTGGAGTTATCGACAATAAAAGTTCGAACTCAGTCGCGTTCAGCCGTCGGCCATTTACTAACCTTGTTTAACTACATTCAGTGCGGGACATTTTCCGCGCGGAAGATTAATTAAGGGCCTTTTTCCTGCAATTAACTGAACTTACTCGTCTAAAATTACTGCGCATTTAACTTATATCGTAAAGCGATGTCAAGTGTTGTTTTTTTTCAAATGTTGTTATATATATATATATATATATATATATATATATATATATATATATATATTTGGTTGATAGATGTGGGTTTGTGACCCTGGGTTTCACGCTTTAGCGATCGTCAGACAAACATATGTGGGCTGTTTCGGTTATGACATATGTATGTATACGGGTGGTGTTGTGTCTATACATACGCATTTGTATGTTGAAATTCAAAGATTGGGAGTGTAGCGAAAATTTTCTCGTGGATGTCTCGTGAATGTATACATGTCATATTTTTATTTTTCCAGTGAATAAATTTCTTCGCATGTATGTATATACGTGTGGTGGGGTTTCTGATATTGAACGCTTTCTAATAAGTACCGCGCATATAATATATAAATAATTATACATATATATATTTATTTATATTTATATACACACTTTTCACACACACACACACACACACACACACACACACACACACACACACATATATATATATATATATATATATATATATATATATATATATATATATATATATGAGAGACAGAGAGAGAGAGAGGGGGGAAGGAGAGGAGGGGAGGGAGAGGAGAGGGAGAGAGGGAGATAGAATCTTCAAACGAATACTGGATGCAACTCAAATGTTAGGTAGGCCGTAGAAGTTTTTGACTTAAATACTATGATAAAAAAGATGAAGATAAAGACTTAATAAAAAATCAGAGTGACATTTAAAAGCAAATGGATGCAATCTACTACTTAAAAAAATAGAATCCATAGCAAGGCTGTGTTTCTGAAGCAGTAAAGGATAATAATAGTTTATTTAAGACAAGAAATCACATTTGATTAAGTTCTGATAAAGTTTTACCATAAGCGGTTTCTCTTGGCGGATGGCTTCTCAGACTGAAGTCAACGGCCAGAGTGAGAGATACTTCCGATGGAATCAGCGGCCACATGTCTGTGACGAAGGCGATTCTTGAAGTTGGAGAATAATGCCTGCATTTTAGATGGATGGATTCCGCCAGGTCTACTACACCAAGACACGCTACGCCTGAATGAATACAGGTGCACACGTTGAGCAGGGACACTACGACTACATCCGGTTATGGTACTGACGATGATGATGATGATGATGATGATGATGATGATTACTCTAAAAAGAATCTATTAGATGCTCCCATCAACACGTAGGCAACACACAAATTCAAACATAGACCTAAAAGCGTATACACATTTACACAAATATTATAAATTATTTTTATTAGCACTTCCACCCCCGCTTTTTTTTTACTATATTTTCCTTCACATATCAGACGCACTTATCTTGATGATAGAAATATCCTTTTCCATTTTTTTTCTGTTAGCTATAATCTTGGGAGATCTTCCCTAATACATCAAAGGAAAGAATTGCTTGCCTGTGTGTCGGGACTGAAAGACTATTAACAGTTGCTCTGGTGATGATATAATCCGCTCTTCAGAAAATACGTCTGTAACCAGAGAGTTTTTTGTATGCCTGAAGGCCAGAGATAAAAGCAGATCAATAACTAGCTATAGCTTTTATGGAAAAGCTACTCGGCGTACTCACAAGGGCACGTTTACATTTGGCTATTGATTTTCTCTGATTTATTAAGATCGTTATTGTTACTGAACCAGAGTGGAAAATATCGACAGCACAAGACATTGGTTTTCTTCTATAGAATTGCCATCCTATTCCAAGTAAAACATCTTGGTTGATAGCGATGAGTTAGTGCGAAAAGGTAAAAAAAAAAGAAAAAAGAAAAAAAAAGAAAGAAAGAAAAAGAAAAGAAAGAAAAAGAAAAGAAAGAAATAGATAAGGAAAAAGCCACAGAGAAGCTACATTGTCCACCGCCGTAACGTAGCTTTCCTGTGCCTTTTCTATGAATACTTTCCATAGTAATTGTTCTGATGGGATTTACTCTTTATAATCTGAACTTTGCGAATTTAAGCACAGTACTAGATTGGCAGTTAGGTCTCATCATTTTACAGTTGAAATATTCTAGATATAACCAAACGCAAACAGTTTGAATTAAAGAAAGAGGTAAGAAAGAAAAGAGTATGATAAAAAAAAGAAAATCAAAGAAAAGAATATCTGACTCTAACTCTATACGGCTGAGTTAAGAAAGAAAGGCCATACCAAAGAAAGAAAGAAAGAAAATGCAAGAAAAAAAGAAGGAAATAATAAAATGAAGGGAAGAAAGAAAAAAAAAGAAAAAAAAAGATGATAAAAAAGATCATGAAAAAAGAAATATACCAACCAAATACTGCTTATAGCAATATGACGTTACGATCATCGAAGTTAAGCAACATCTAGCTTGGTCATTACCTAGATGGGTGCTGTAAACTTATATGTGCGGGAGATGTAATAGATAATGGCTTGGGATTGTTCCCTTCGCGCAAATACTCTTGGGAAAGGCATGAATCCACCTCTCCTCCCAGCTATGGGATAATTACTCGGAGAATGAAGTCAAGTTCGGTATATCCACTTACGCGCAAATAACATTGGGAAAGATATATATTCACTTCTTTTCCCCCATCTATGGGTTAATTAGTAAAACTTGTATCACTAAATCATTATTATCTCCCCACAAAAAATTCCCAAAATCTGAAAAAACATTTTTCTGGCTTTAAAAATTTCTCAAAATCTGAAAAAACATTTTTCTGGATTTAAAAAATTTCTCAAAATCTGAAGAAAAAAAAATCTGGTTTTGAAAAATTTCTCAAAAACTGAAAAAAAAATTTTCTGCCTTTAAAAAATTCTCAAAATCTGAAAAAAACGTCTTTCTGGATTTAAAAGAATTCTTAAAATCTAAAAAAAACATTTTTCTGAATTTAAAAAAAATTCTCAAAATCTGAAAAAACATTTTTCTGGCTTTAAAAAAATTCACAAAATCTGAAAAAAACATTTTTCAGGATTTAAAAAAAATCTCAAAATCTGAAAAAAACATCTTTTTGGATTTAAAAAAATTCTCAAAATCTGAAAAAAACGTCTTTCTGGATTTAAAAGAATTCTTAAAATCTAAAAAAACATTTTTCTGAATTTAAAAACAAAATTCACAAAATCTGAAAAAACATTTTTCTGGCTTTAAAAAAATTCACAAAATCTGAAAAAACATTTTTCTGGATTTAAAAAAATTCTCAAAATCTGAAAAAAAAAAAAAAACATTTTTTTTGCTTTAAAAAATTCTCAAAGTCTGAAAAAAACATTTTTCTGGATTTAAAAATTTCTCAAAATCTGAAAAAAACATTTTTAAGGCTGCAGTAGTTTGATAAGCCGTAGAAAATAAATCAAACAAATTAACGAAAGAATATAAATTGGAGTTAAAGAAATAATGTAAGAAGAATAGAATAAAAGAATTAGTGAAGAAATGAACAGAGAGAATAGAAAAAAGAATTAGAATTAAAGAAAGAATAAAAAAACAGGAAAAAAATAAAAAAGAATTAAAGAAATGAATTAAGAATAAAAGAATAGTGAAGAAATAAAGAAATTAGTGAAGAAATGAACAAGAGAATAGAATAAAAGAATTAGTGAAGAAATGAACAGAGAGAGAATAAAAGAATTAGTGAAAGAAATGAACAGAGAGAATAGAATAAAAGAATTAGTGAAGAAATGAAAAGAGAATGAACAAAAGAGAGAAATGAATAGAATAAAAAAAGAATTAGTGAAGAAATGAACAGAGAGAATAGAATAAAAGAATTAGTGAAGAAATGAACAGAGAGAATTAGAATAAAGAGAATTAAAAGAATTAGAAATGAACAGAGAGAATAGAATAAAAAAAATTAGTGAAGAAATGAACAGAGAGAATAGAATAAAAGAATTAGTGAAGAAATGAACAGAGAGAATAGAATAAAAGAATTAGTGAAGAAATGAACAGAGAGAGAATAGAATAAAAGAATTAGTGAAGAAATGAACAGAGAATAGAATAAAAAGAATTAGTAAGAAATGAAAGAGAGAATAGAATAAAAGAATTAGAAGAAATGAACAGAGAGAATAGAATAAAAGAATTAGTGAACAGAAGAATAAATAAAAGAATTAGTGAAAGAAATGAACAGAGAATAGAATAAAAGAATTAGTGAAGAAATGAACAGAGAGAATAGAATAAAAGAATTAAAGAAATGAACAGAGAGAATAGAATAAAAAAGAATTAGTGAAGAAATGAACAGAGAAATAGAATAAAAGAATTAGTGAAGAAATGAACAGAGAGAATAGAATAAAAGAATTAGTGAAGAAATGAACAGAGAGAATAGAATAAAAGAATTAAAAGAAATGAACAGAGAGAATAGAATAAAAGAATTAGTGAAGAAATGAACAGAGAGAGAATAGAATAAAAGAATTAGTGAAGAAATGAACAGAGAGAATAGAATAAAAGAATTAGTGAAGAAATGAACAGAGAGATAGAATAAAAGAATTAGTGAAGAAATGAACAGAGAGAATAGAATAAAAGAATTAGTGAAGAAAATAAAAGAGAATAGAATTAGTGAAGAAATGAACAGAGAGAATAGAATAAAAGAATTAGTGAAGAAATGAACAGAGAATAAAAAGAAATGAATTAGTGAAGAAATGAAGAAAAATAGAATAAAAGAATTAGTGAAGAAATGAACAGAGAGAATAGAATAAAAGAATTAGTGAAGAAATGAACAGAGAGAATAGAATAAAAGAATTAGTGAAGAAATGAACAGAGAAATAGAATAAAAGAATTAGTGAAGAAATGAACAGAGAGAATAGAATAAAAGAATTAGTGAAGAAATGAACAGAGAGAATAGAATAAAAGAATTAGTGAAGAAATGAACAGAGAGAATAGAATAAAAGAATTAGAAGAAATGAACAGAGAGAATAGAATAAAAGAATTAGTGAAGAAATGAACAGAGAGAATAGAATAAAAGAATTAGTGAAGAAATGAACAGAGAGAATAGAATAAAAAATGAATTAGTGAAGAAATGAACAGAGAGAATAGAATAAAAGAATTAGTGAAGAAATGAACAGAGAAATAGAATAAAAAGAATTAGAAGAAATGAAAGAGAATAAAAGAATTAGTGAAGAAATGAACAGAGAGAATAGAATAAAAGAATTAGTGAAGAAATGAACAGAGAGAATAGAATAAAAGAATTAGTGAAGAAATGAACAGAGAGAATAGAATAAAAGAATTAGTGAAGAAATGAACAGAGAGAATAGAATAAAAGAATTAGTGAAGAAATGAACAGAGAGAATAGAATAAAAGAATAAAAAATGAACAGAGAGAATAGAATAAAAGAATTAGTGAAGAAATGAACAGAGAGAATAGAATAAAAGAATTAGTGAAGAAATGAACAGAACAATAGAATAAAAGAATTAGAGAATAACAGAAATAAAAAAGAATTAGTGAAGAAATGAACAGAGAGAATAGAATAAAAGAATTAGTGAAGAAATGAACAGAGAGAATAGAATAAAAGAATTAGTGAAGAAAATGAACAGAGAGAATAGAATAAAAGAATTAGTGAAGAAATGAACAGAGAGAATAGAATAAAAGAATTAGTGAAGAAATGAACAGAGAGAATAGAATAAAAGAATTAGAAGAAATGAACAGAGAGAATAGAATAAAAGAATTAGTGAAGAAATGAACAGAGAGAATAGAATAAAAGAATTAGTGAAGAAATGAACAGAGAGAATAGAATAAAAGAATTAGAAGAAATGAACAGAGAGAATAGAATAAAAGAATTAGTGAAGAAATGAACAGAGAGAATAGAATAAAAGAATTAAAGAAATGAACAGAGAGAATAGAATAAAAGAATTAGTGAAGAAATGAACAGAGAGAATAGAATAAAAGAATTAGTGAAGAAATGAACAGAGAGAATAGAATAAAAGAATTAGTGAAGAAATGAACAGAGAGAATAGAATAAAAGAATTAGTGAAGAAATGAGAATAGAATAAAAGAATTAGAGAATGAGAATAAATAAAATTAAAGAAATGAACAGAGAGAATAGAATAAAAGAATTAGTGAAATGAACAGAGAGAATAGAATAAAAGAATTAGTGAAGAAATGAACAGAGAGAATAGAATAAAAGAATTAGTGAAGAAATGAACAGAGAGAATAGAATAAAAGAATTAGTGAAGAAATGAACAGAGAGAATAGAATAAAAAGAATTAGTGAAGAAATGAACAGAGAAATAGAATAAAAACAGAATTAGAATGAAGAAATGAACAGAGAGAGAATAGAATAAAAGAATTAGTGAAGAAATGAACAGAGAGAATAGAATAAAAGAATTAGTGAAGAAATGAACAGAGAGAATAGAATAAAAAAGAATTAGTGAAGAAATGAACAGAGAGAATAGAATAAAAAGAATTAGTGAAGAAATGAACAGAGAGAATAGAATAAAAGAATTAGTGAAGAAATGAACAGAGAGAATAGAATAAAAGAATTAGTGAAGAAATGAACAGAGAGAATAGAATAAAAGAATTAAAGAAATGAATAGAGAATAGAATAAAGAATTAGTGAAGAAATGAAGAATAGAATAAAAGAATTAGTGAAGAAATGAACAGAATAAATAAAAGAATTAGTGAAGAAATGAACAGAGAGAAATAGAATAAAAGAATTAGTGAAGAAATGAACAGAGAATAGAATAAAAGAATTAGTGAAGAAATGAACAGAGAGAATAGAATAAAAAGAATTAGAAGAAATGAACAGAGAGAATAGAATAAAAGAATTAGTGAAGAAATGAACAGAGAGAATAGAATAAAAGAATTAGTGAAGAAATGAACAGAGAGAATAGAATAAAAGAATTAGTGAAGAAATGAACAGAGAGAATAGAATAAAAGAATTAGTGAAGAAATGAACAGAGAGAAAAAAACGAAAATGAACGAATAAAGAAAATTATATGAATCCTATATTTCCTTCCCTAAATTTTGTTTAGTTTAAATAAATAGATTAGAAAAAAGCGAAAATAAAATAAAAGCTCTGTGACCCAATCCCGAATATATCTCAAATTGAATCTCAGTTTAATGCAAATAGAAGGATCAGTTTAAAGTAGAAAGAAATGAGAGGCGAAAACGAAAACAAAAATGGAATGAAAAAATGAAAAAAAAAAACAAAAAAAAAAAAACACTAAATGAATTAAAAAATCAGAAGAAAAGAACTTGGCCGAGGAAAATTGAAAATGTCCCACAGGCAGGTGATCAGGCAACTTCTCTTTAATTTTAACACGTGTCAACGTTCCATTAATAATTCAAAGATTAATATCATCAAATCAACAAGTTATTGAATAGAAATTACGCTTAAACGATATGTCCCAATGCTATAATGTTTGGGCGCTACCTCGAGTATGATTTATATAATCGATATCTCATTTGTCTACAGTCAAGCATATGTCTGAGAAACGCAATCAAAATAGTATTACTCTCCAAGAAATAGCCATACATAATATATTCAATATCTGTCTTCTTAATTTGCTGACATCTATCTTTATACCTATTAGATCTATACCCACCTTTCTATTGTATTAATATCTATCTATCTATCTATCTATCTATCTATCTATCTATCTATCTATCTATCTATCTATTCTCTGCATAACATCTACAAATGTATGACTAGATATAAAAAAATGTTCCTGTAAAAAAAGTGTCTAAATTTACTAAGACACACTGAACTAAAACAAAAATAAAAATACCTATTCCTAGATAGAAAAAATTTTGTTTAATGACGGTGTCTTAGTGGTGTTTTGCTTTGTCAATATATTTTACAACAAAATTCTTCTTATTTCAGTTAGATCGATGATTCTCTATTAATATATCCACAAAACATAATTTTACCCAATTTTGTCAACAAACTTAATAAAGTCGAACCGACAATAGAGTTTAACTTTGAATTTCAGTCTAACAACACTTTACCCTTCGTAGATATAATGCTGCATAGATTTAATAAAGAACTTCAGTTTGAGGTTTATAGAAAATCTACTAACAAGAATAACCGTATCAATTTATATTCCCACTGTAACAAAACCAAATTTGGAATAATCATGGGATTCTATTTGATAGCACTAAGAATCTGAAATTCCTAATCTTTAACCAAAGAAGAAATATATATATATATATATAAACACTTTCAAAAACATCCAATATTCTAATTATTCCATCCACAATGCTAAGAGAAACGTATAGAAAATATACAACCGAAAAAAAGATAACATTGTTAACAACAACAACAATGACAATAAACCAGATAAAAATAGAGACATAATACTACATACTAACTCAATAACATTCAAAATCCAACTCAATTTATCCAATCTAAACATCAAAATAATTACAACTATATAATTATTATGGATATAATCAGAACCAAACATTAACATAACAATAATGATTCTGAAGCAGATATATATAAAATAAAATGTCAACTTCTCCACACAATGCATTGGGAAAACTTGCAGAAATTAAAAAAAAAACGTATCTATGAACACGAAAGGGATTTTATAAACAACAATTTATCAAATGCATTAGTTTTACATAGAAACAAATCCAATCACAATTTTGATCTACAACATTCTACAATTATTAAAAGAGAAACTAATGTAAAACTTTCAAGAGTGACGCTATCGAATCTTATCAAAATATAAACCTGCGACTCGGATTTTTTAAAATATCACCATTCTTGAAAGAACTACTGTTTCCACAAACCGGCATACATGACTATAAAAATGTTAAAAAATTTAAATAAAACGGTTAATTTCATATATCATGTTATTTTAAATACATAACACATATATTATCCACAAATAAAAATAATTTAAATACTAATTTGCATAAAAAATTCAAAAACATCATTTACACATTTTCGTTTATTAGACAGTGAATTGTGTCCCTTGGCATCTTCCACAGTTGTATAGACATTTCGGCTAACCTGATGAATATTTATGAGTGTTCTTAAATTAAAATATTTGAAAAATCAATAATATTTTTTCTTTTCTATATAAATACTTGTTACAAAATAAAATCTTTGCCTTGATAAAATCCCTTACAGGACGAAACGCGTCGGATAAGTTTTCCTTTTGTCTTTATTCAATGAAATATATATATATATATATATATATATATATATATATATATATATATATATATATATATATGAATGTCAGTGTGCATATATTGATACCAATGGACTTATGCCTCAGTATATAGGAAGGAAGATGCATATAGGTATATTTAAGGAGATTTCAATGAGGAGTTTTGGGGGTTTCCTTTACAGTCCTCTGCTGATTATAAGTCAAAGCTTGTAACGGATTTGAAAGTGTGGATAAAAAACAGCACAAAATTATCAGAAAAAAATTATCAGTGTTGTTTTATTATCTTAACGTCATCGAACATCGTAATATTTGTTTTGCCTGCCTTCCATATCTATGCATTTGTCCTTACCTATAACTACAGAATGAACTCTTCCTAACACTATGTATACTACGACTCTCAAGAGAGAGAGACGAATCGAGTCGAGCCGATAGTAGGTCACTCCAAACCAGACTGACAGTCATACTAACATCTTCCACATCTTGTATTATTATTTCGTGTAATATACCTTCGTTATTTCTACTCTTATGTTCGTGTTGTTCTTCCTTGGTCCTAACCTGGACCATAACAACATTCATTACAGATTAAAAGTAAGTAAGATATTGTTTATTAACCAGAAGAGTAAAAATATATAGGAAAAAAAAAGTTGAAATGCAACTGGAGAGTTTAAAAATATTTATTTAGAGTAACATTAGCGGTTTTGTATTTCTGTGTTTCTTAAAAGTTAAATTGAAATGAAGAGATGCGTGGCTATGCCATGTTATATATTCGCAGATATATACATATATTGCGTTAATAATATAATTAAAGGGTTTAATGGAAGAAACTACGAAGAACAAGAAGGTGGAAATAGAAATTTGTGTAACTGCAGAAATAAAGAAAATTGCCCTTTAAATGGGGTGTGTTGTAAACGAGGGCTGGTGTACTGTGCTGATGTAGAGAGCGATAATGATACAGTCAAGAAATATATTGATTGTACAGAGTGTCAGTTCAAAAAGAGACAGCATAACCATACTTGTTCGTTTAGGGCCCAACGCCAACGATTCAACACAAAGCTCGCAGACCATTATTGGAATTTTAATGATAAATATAGTGAAAGTCCTAATATCAAATAGAGGGTTCTACGACCAGTACGGACAAAAGAATTAACTGGTGGATCTTGCAATTTATGTCATGAAGGGAATCTAGCCATCGCAACTATTATTAGTAACAGTGTATTACTTAAGGAAAGATCAGAAATAATGGCAAAATGCAGAGACTCTAGAAAAGTCATGTCGGGGAATTATGAGCCAGTATGAGTTAGGCAGATTATAATATTTTTCCTCCTCATACTCTTCCTCCACCTATGCAGTGACTTACTATATATTGGTTGTCAATAGCCAATACGCTGGAAGTATTGCCTGATGATACTTATTATGGTTGAAACCACGGCTGCGTCCTTTTAGCATCTTAGTTTTTAAGGATATAATTCGCTCTAAAAGTTTACTTTTATATGGAGAACTATTTTTTTTATTATCTCGCTTATAATTTAGTAACACATCCTTTTGATAGTGTTACTATTTTTTATTTAATTATTTACTCCTGTTTTGCAGCTGACCATTTTTCTTTATATAGCCTTAAACAGAAAACCTTTCTTGATCATTATTTTTACATTACATTTTTAACTGAATAGTTCAGTTTTCCGCCGGAATTTTCTCCAGCCATGAAACTTGAGGGAATCAATATAAAGTATTCACTGTAGAATATTCCTGTACCGTCAAAACATTGCTATATGATGGTTTTACTCAACAAAATTGAAGTATTCTTGTTCAGAACGCGATGGAAGTCGTTTTTCGTCTTCAATACAATTTCAAGCAAAGATATTGCAATAGAAAAATATCTGTTTAAAATACAAAAATATCCTCCAGTCATGAAGGAACTGTCCGGATTTGAAAAAGACCTTATAAGCAAAATGAAGAAGATCAGATTTAGAAAAACAAGCACAATTTTGGGAAAAAAAATTAACAAGGGTCATAAATGATTTGACAAAATAAGAAAAGTTTCACCATGGGCGACAAAACCAAAAAAAAAAAAAATATATATATATACAGTAAACCCAAGATGTTATAATAAAAAGGTATCAGAGAAAGTTACGAATTTTTACAAAAAGGCACCGGCTTCTTATAAGGACCAGTTGAATAAGGAAACGAAGAATTCTATAATGTACGATGTCGGAGATAAAGTAAAAATACTCGACAAAAAGGAAGCATTCCTAACCATAAAAGATCACAAGAAAAATTTCTTTGACAGTCCAACCTTCAGATTAATTAATCCAACTGAAAGAGAGGTGGGTATCATTAGCCACAAAATTTTTATGGAAGCTTGTAAACTAATGAGACATGTCGCACAGGTAAACTAATGGAATAGCACTGTGACTGTATCGAATGGTTTAGTTGTATAAATAATAAAAGCCAAAAATCATTCATAAATACGATATTAAGGATTTTTATCCTTCTATTACCAAAAGAATAAATAAATAAATAAATAAATAAAAAAACTCTGGTGAAAGTCTTTGTAGAAAAATCACGTGGTAGAGATAAACACTTAGTTGTGGAGCAAGCTAAGTGAACAATAATCCAATTTTTAGAAAGAGAGCTATTTATGTTGCCATAGAGCATCTCATTGTGCTAAAGTGGGATAGTCCATTGCTTGGGTTGTGATTGGCTGCTGGTACCTGAGTTGAGGTTCTATATAAATACCAGCTTGATTCAGCTGTTAGTTTGCAGGGTTTGTATTAAGTTACAACCTGCTTTATTTTTGTCTGCCAGCTGGACGCTAGCTGGGACCTTTACACCGGTAAGTGCTGTTTATTATTGTTATTCTACAGTCTTGACCTTTGCAGAAATAGAAATATAGAAATATATGTACGTTAATATAAACTCAAAAGATATAGGCGTAATTTTTCCTTGTCGCAAATCGGTACTGTTTTTCAAAGGCGAAGCGTGGATTAAAAATAAAAAAGGTAACTTTGACGTCCCACAAAGATCGTACGATGTCACGTGGGTTGTCGGAACTAATGGGCATCTTTTTATTGAGCAAAAGTAAGGAAATTGTGTACATTGACGGTCATGGTTTATACCGGGATGATGGACTGGTGGTAGTAACGAATAACACACAAAAGAACAAAATCGAAAAGAAGTTATTTAAATTATTTAAAAGTCTGCAAAGTGCAGACACTTGAGAGTTGGAGAATTATGACCCAGGATGAGCTTGGCAGATTATGATATCTTATTCCTCATACCCTTCCTTCGCCTAAGTACTTACTATATATAGGTTGTCAACAGCCAATACGCTGGAGGTATTTCCTGATGATACCTATTATGGTTGAAACCACGGTTTCATACGTCTTAGTTTTTAAGGATATATATATATATATATATATATATATATATATATATATATATATATAAAAATTAATTGATTTAAAAATATGGTTTTCTCCACTACACAGTTCTAACCATGTTTCAAAAA